GTCGCCAACTACAGACCACAACTGTTTCCAGAACCTTTCATTTGCATCCATGGGAGGCCGTTTATCATGCTCACCATCACCGCTTGTTTTAAGTTGCCTGTAGAAGTGCTTTTCATTATTTCTAAAACGTTTATTTTGTTTGATGAATTTGTTTTTCTTTTCCCATTTTTTCTTTCTTTCAGTCTAAACTTTTATTTTTGCCTTAAGAGAATCGACAATTTGGAGAAATACCTTTTCTTTTGTTGTCTTGTACTGTAATTTTAATTTCCTCCAAATTGACTTTTGCCGTTTTGACATTGGACTTCCTGATGATCTTATTTTCAGGCACAACTCTATCAAGGATATGTATTTTCTAGTTTCCGTTAGTTTTACTTGAAACCGTGTTTTCTTTGGTGAAGGTTTCTTAGATGCTTTTTCTTTGGAAACTTTGTGAAGTTCCTCCAAGGTTCGAGCAGCAGCATAGACACAACAATTTACTTCATGTAATGAACAGTCCGCAGAAAGTTTCATAGAAATAATGTCATTTAATAAATTAAAATCATGTTTGGGAAAAGATACATTTGTTTGTTGAATTGGCCTCCGTTTTTCTAAAGGTATATCAGATATTTCATCATAAATAGAATGAAACAAAATATACACAGGATTTTCTGAAAGATCTGCAACTGAAGAAGAGAAAGAGTGAGGGTCCGACATTTCGGGGCCAATTGGCTCTATGCCAGAAGAATTTCCATCAGAAAGAGGAAAGAGGTTGACACGGACATCCATTAGAAGTTTTGGGTCTGCTGCCACTTGAGCATTCTGCTCATGCAAAGGTTCCTGACGGGCACCAGTTGTTGGTTGAACTGGCTCACGGCGTATGAGATTTATAAGACGCCGGAATTGGTCGCGGCGATTTTGCTCCGTCAGGTAAGCATACATGGGCATGGCATTGTCCCAATGCAGCTTAAGCGACTTGACATTGATGCGTGGATTATCAGGCCACCCTGTAGCTTTCGCACACTCAAGTAGTGTGGATTTGAGATGGTTTGACCAAGATATTCTTGGCTGGGTTCTGTGCCTTCCCCTGGGGCAAGTCCCATCTCCAGTATGGTTTGTTTCTTTACCGGAGGAAGGCTGACTGGGCTGCGGAAGTGAAAGATTGAATTCTTCTTGGCTTGTAGTAACCCAGTAATTTCCCAGCTTCGGGGTCTCAGCCCTAATTGGGTGATGTACATTCAGTTCAGGGAATATAATTCCCCTATCTAGGCCCACCACGAAGAGGCGAACATCATCAGGCCCTTGTTATTATTATTATGTTTTACAGATTAACTCATTAAGGCCGAGAGACGCATATATGGGGCAAATTAATCAGCTCCTCACAGCGAATGACGTGTTTATGGGGCAGTTAATTAGCAGTTTCTCACAGCGAGAGCCACATACAATCGTCAACAGAAAGCACCTCTTATTCAGCGAGAGACGCACATGTGTGTTGTACTTTTCAAAATCGCACTGTACCTATTATTTCAACCAATTTAGCAGTACTGAGCAAATGTTAGCTTTTCTAACGAGAGATCCCACCTTTAGTATCAATCAGAAGAAGTATTTAAAGTGTTTTGATAACAATTGCTAATCATTATCATAGGCTTGTACAGCGTTTAGCAAATGAACAAATGTCGGTGAGAAAGGGGATTATGATGTTTTTACAGAGGTAAGTGCCTGGTACTCGAGTAGATTAAACATAACTGAACTTACTAATTTGAAGTTTACTGAATTGTAACTAGTTGTTTTCCATAATCTAAAGTTCGTAATGTTACCTAAGCGAATATAGTGATAAGTCGCGCCTTTGCATCGAATACATAGATACATGTCAGTGTTATTACTGTCAACGCGTGGATTATATGTCAACTGGGGAATTAGCTCATAATTAAGATGAAGTGTGCGTTGATAAAGACGAAGGCATAGTTGAGTTCAAACATCTTTAGTACATGACAAACAAATACACAAGACATGAGCTAAGTGAGCGGAGTACCCCAGGGCGTTTCCTACGAGCGGCATTATCCTGCTCGTGGTCGCCCCAACAGACAGTCCAGTACTCCTTCACTGTCTAGATGTGAGCATACTAAGTATATATACAGTTTTTGACAACAATGGACAGGCGACGACTCATCAATGGACAGACAGAAAAACAATAGCACTTCCTTGACCAGTTGATGTGATGGCAGACACGGCCAGGGGGGATTACCAAAGAAGGTTATACATGTTTTATACAATAATTAATGGGCTGACAAGTCAATTTACAATGCGGTAGTGATAAGGATGTACAGTAGTGATTAAAAATACAGCTTAGTGTCATATATATATTACAATAAAGTCTCACATGTCTTGAGTACATAGTTTTGGACTTTTTAAATATTTGGACGATGACTGTCCTGAATTAGTCCCTATAACATTACAACAATGAAATGTTTTACTGCGTTTGTTACAAAAGACAGTAAGTTGGTAATTCAAAACATTGTCACACATGGACAGAAGTAATATCATAAGTTATTTCATGTAAGCCATACAAAGGTATTTCAAGCATTTTTGTTCAAGCTGTTGAAAGTTTCATGTTGATTTGAATTGTCAGTTTTCTATGCAATTTTCATGAGCATTCTGTAAAACGTTTGTATTTGATCTGTGTAATTATCAAATCCGGTGCAATTATCACGTGTATCAATCAACTCAGTCTCTATTGATCCATCATCAATAAAAGCTGGATAGTATTTCAGTTACGGTATCGATACACATGCGTATAATCATTCGAGCAGATTACAGTAATGAGATAATTGAACGCCTCTTTCGACCTTGAAATAACAGCCTCCGGTAGAATGCATATGTAGTTACGTCCTTTGTGAAAGGTTTGTCCCGTGACAAGTGTAAAATAAACAGATGCGCTGTTATATCATTGGACATCTTGCGTTATGGAGTCACGCCCCTCTCTGTGATGTTTATACATGCATGCACATCTGTAATCTTATGAACCTCGTTTGCATTCAGTAAAGATATAGGCACGCCCACCTTCATAAATATTGGGGTGGGGGTGTCAACTGCAAGTTTATATACTATGATGAATAATTCAGTATAGTGTCACCTCGTGAATTCTGTAATGCGTGTACTTTAGTTTGGATAGTCATTCGTATCAAGGTGAAGATTATATTTACATGTACAGCACACCATTATGTTTTATGTACTAGTGGTGTGCATAAAATGTATATGAAAATAAATACTACCTCTACTCAGTGGTTGGATTTCAATCGCTTTGTTTTACTTATTGAAAAACACTAAAATGAGGACAAATAAACTCGCCAAAGTGACTATCTACTCCTATTTGTCTTATGTGTGTACAATGTATTTCATACATCGTTACCAGTGTGTATGTTTACAATACACAAACTGTTACATGATAGCTTGAGTTGATAAAGCCGAAACCCAGCATATCGACTGGTCAAGGATATAGCCAATAACCAATCTCTATCCAAGCTGCTGAGTGACCAAACGTGCTCTTCAGAAATTTCGCCCACGCCCCGTCACCTGTCCTTTCCTCTGTGACAGGTATCTCATGATACGATTGGTCCCTGTTTTACATATGACCAGCCACTATACTGAACAGTTGAGATACCAGTGTGTATGTTTACAATACACAAACTGTTACGTGATAGCTTGAGTTGATAAAGCCGAAACCCAGCATATTGACTGGTCAAGGATATAGCCAATAACCAATCTCTATCCAAGCTGCTGAGTGACCAAACGGGCTCTTCAGAAATTTTACCCACGCCCCATCACCTGTCCTTTCCTCTGTGACAGGTATCTCATGATACGATTGGTCGCAGATAACATATGACCAGCCACTACATTGAACAGTTGAGATACCGAACGTTCTATTCGGGAAATTTGATGACGCCCTATCACGTGACTCTTTGTTTAATGTCTATGCAAGGAGTATGTAGTATACATTTTGTAAATGTATGTTTGTATGGTCACGTATGTTTTCTGCATTAAATCTGTATGAAATAAAGTGCAATGCTATGAATGTGCTTTATGCTAGTCACAGACTAGCGTTATAGTACTTCCATTAAAATAATTCGTAAACACTAGAAATGTATCGGCAGAACCGCTATTTTCGTCGAAGATTATAAAGTATGAAAGTAAATTCTTCTTTACAGTATGTCATTGTCATAGATGTTTTGTAAATTTAAACCTCAAACAATGATATAAGAGAGAGAATTATTTGTTAACGTGTGTCTCATCTGTTACATACAAAGAATACATGTGTATGCATATTGTGATAAAATATAAATGTACAAGCCGACAAAAAGTCTACAAGAGAAACTTGCAATAAAATTACATAAAGCTTGCAATACACGACATGTATTCACACCTGATTTCTTTCAACATATATCTTTACGACACAATTAAACAATCAGGACTTGTTTGTACGACTAGACAGTTTCCTGTGATCCCCGAAACCTGCCAGGGAAATCAGGTGTGACTAGCACTAATTAGTCTCGGCACAGAGAGTGGGGAATCAGCGAGGGCTTCCAGGTGTTGAGTAGTGATGGGGCTCTCGGGCTTGATGAGTTAAAGATAGTATGCAGCAGGGAGGGTTCGGGTGATCCTGGCACAGTCAGGCTGGTAAGGCTCATCATAAGCTCAGGGCCCTTGCCCCCTCTACACGCAGCCCAGACAGTGAATGGGACTTCTCCCAGGAAACACTGCCTAGTCGAACCCAACAAGAACTTTCCGGAGAATATGAAGGCTCCCCAACACTGCAGCCTTCTGCATTACCCAGTGTGTCAGAAGGGCTGTACTCCCGGTGGAGAACCCGGGAACTCTCCTGATCTGCGCCAAGAGATCAGGAGGGACCAAACCAAGGGCACCGAGAACAATGGGGAGCCTGACGACAGTGTACTTGGGATGCAAGCGAGACATTTCAAAGTCGAGGTCCGGATATTTATCATGCTTTTCCTTAATCTTGCCAATCACATTGCTGTCAAAAGGGACAGAAAATTCAATGATATAAATGATTCATTGGCTTTATCAAAAAGGACAAGATCAGGTTTGTTGACTAGAATTCTCCTGAGGCTATAAATGGCTATAAATTACTCCAGCACATGTAACGTTTTACACACAGCAGGAATGAGTGATGTTTAAACAGGCATAATTATTGACAACAATTCTCACAATTTACAATTACAATAAAAATTAGACTAGTTGGACGGTCTCCCGTTAGGTTATGAAGATGTTATGTGCTTCAGTACTTTTGCGTAAAACTCAAAATGGTTCGATAAATTGTACGTAAGTTTGTTGTGTATTTTCTTTGTTTTGTTTTGATTGTTGTTAAAAGCCGCATGATCCAGACATATGGCAACAGTCTGTATTCCAGTCTGGATCGGACAATCCAGTGATCAACAACATCTGTCTACGCACTTGGGATACGATGACATGTGTACGTAAATTCGTACGTGTGTAACATACAGGTGACGTTTCCTGTGAGCGGTGCTTCTATATATTTCTGGAGCTTGAAGATGACTCTACCTTATCAGATGAAGACAAAGAAAAGGTATGTCCCTGTTTCAGTGAGTGGGTGAAATATGACTGACGCAGCTTTAAGCAGTTTGCAGAACGTCCATGGTGTTCAGAGGCAGTGTTCATTGCCTCCTTGAATATTAAAGCAAGTAAAATATATTGAAAATCAGACACCAACAAAAACAAAGTGCTCGCACATAGAAGTTCCTCCGTGGTTGGTTGGTTGGTTGGCTAGTTGGTTTATGGTTTAACACTCAGCAATATTCCAGGTAAATGGCGGCAGTCTGTAAATAATCTAGTCTGGACCAGACAATCCAGTGATCAACAGCATGCTCAACCAAGTCAACGAGCCTGACCACCCAATCCTGTTAGTCGCTCTTACGACAAGCATGGCTTGCTGAAGACCACTTCTAACCCGGATCTTTACGGGTTCCTCCATAGCATGAGGCAATACATTACATTAGGGACGCTATACAAATAAGTCTGTTTTCTCACAGATTTGTAAGTCTCATGTTTAGTCCCTGGCTACGGGGAAAGAAACCTTTCCAAATTTCCTAGTGGACCACAGGACCAGTGAGTGGACAATAATTAGTGATACTGCGTGCATTTGTCTGGTCCAAAAGAGAGAGTGAGTTTAGGTTAACGCCGCACTCTGCAATATTCCAGCAATATAGCGGCGGTCTGTACATAATCGAGTCTGGGCCAGACAATCTAGTGATCAACAGCATGAGCATCGATCGATCTACGCAATTGGGAACCCATGGGATGTGTCAACCAAGCCAGCGAGCCTGACCAAAGTTTGCAAGAATGTTTACTAGCCAGGGACCACAGGACCAGCGTTAACTTCGCACACTGTGGCTGCAAGCACTGAGGGCACCTTACAACAAACAGATAACACATTACATTGATTTTGATGACTGCAAATGATATTACTCAAAGGGGTGTTTATTTTAACAAGGCATTGACTGCCTTGATATGTTTATGAATATTTCAATCACTGTCAATTATTTCAAATATTTGTACACTAAAACTACCCGAGCATTGCAATATGTCAACATCCTAATACAAGAAGGATCTTTAAGATCTTTTCAATGTTTCAGGTTGACGTTGCATTACAATCCCACTTTGAGGTCTACCACGAAATCCGCTCCACGAGTGAGTTTGTCGACCCTGTAGTGATCCAGGTGAAGTCCGGGACGCTTGACGTCATCAAACAGGTCAACTGTGACCTCAACTCAAAGGCTGCAGTACAGCAGTACAAGTACCCGAAGTTTACGACGAAACCCGAATTGATACGATTCCTGTTGGCAAACAAGTTGTGACTGTTAACAACTGTGGCAAGATTCATTTTCCCAAGAATAGAGAAACAATGGACTCTTGAAGTACTTGGTGTCCTGAGGAACCATAGACTCTTAACATACTTCCCTGAAACCTTTTGAGAAACATTTTGTCATGGTTAAATGGGTTGGAGAATTTTATGACTGATTCCTACCACTGCTGTTTTCTGTTTTACCACAAACGTACTTGATATGCTGGGGAACCATGGACTCATTATGTCTGAGAGATGACCGAGAGATTCCCCGTATTGGTACAATGTGTGAAACCCATTTCTAACGTCCCCCGTCGGGATATTGCTAAAAGCGGCCAAACACCCAACTCACTCTTCAAATAAATGTGATAATCTGGGTTTTGTCGCCGCCATACGAGTATTGCAGCACAACAAGCACCTAAACCCACCTGAGCCAAGTGAATCCAAACAAGTTACGTGTTTATACAAATATCGACATATACAAATGGCCATAAATATTGCCGCGCCAGGTGACAGATGGGTCTACAAATGTACGTGTAACAGTGACAATAATTGTGAGCATAGAAATATTAGCTGTTAAATGTCGGACGTCAGACAAACGGATATCTTTCAAAGATCTCACCACCCACCATCCACACCACCCACCAACCACCACCCACACCACCGAGATAACTATTAGGGGACAAGGTTCAAGGTCATTGACAGTCTTGGCAATTACTTCATGTCTATCGTAGTGGGTATGGTTTTACGCCGCATTTAGCAATATTGCAGCAATATCACGGCGGGCACAAAAGAAATGGGCTTTACACATAGTACCCATGTGGGAAATCGAACCCAGGTCTTCAGCGTGCCGAACGAACGCTTTAATAACTGGTGCCTCACCGCTCCCTGTCTATCATAGATATCTGGAAGGTAAATGTACTAAAACAGCATGGACCTTTCCAGCATTGTCTAAACCAGTCCAGCAGTTGTGTCAGGTTTACTTTGCACCTAGTTACCCAACCTTAGCCTGTTTTGGAGTCTTGACTATTGCCCCAGTGAGGCGAGTGTTATCAAGTTAGTACATGTATATATGCTGCGTAAGATACTTGTCAGTGTATTTCAACTGACATTCAGTCTGTACTGTCACTTCTTTCGTGATCTGTATTGACTTGTAAACTTAGTGACATTAAATTCAGTCGTAAATTTTATTATATTTGTATGTTGTTTGTTTGTTTCACATTGCATTCTCTTTTTCTGCTTATCTCAGTGCAATCTGTGAGTAATTGTAGCTTAACGCCGTACTCAGCAATATTCCAGCTATAAGGTGGCGGTCTGTAAATAATCGAGTCTGAACCAGACAATCCAGTGATCAGCAGCATGAGCATCGATATACACAATTGGAATACGATGACATGTGTCAACCAAGTCAGCGAGCCTGACCACCCGATCCCGGTAGTCGCCTCTTACAACAAGCATGTGTTGCTGAAGATCAATTCTAACCCGGATCTTCACGGGTATCAGTGCAATCAGAACCTTATAATAGTCCCTCATATACAAGTATAAACTGTATATCCGTCTTTACAAAACTCCTTTTATAAGCAAGATGGTTCATGGCCAGGCAGGTTGCAAACATATTATGCTCACAACACATCACGAGTATTTGCGGAGTGTTTGACACGAGACGGGCGGATTCGAGAGTTGTCATGACATAGTACATGTAGGTTTAAAAACAAAACTTCAGTTGAACCTTCTCTCAGTGGGAGTCCCTTTACAAAGGTCTCTCTGTTGTCGCTGTCTATTCATGGCCCTTCTTATTCAAATCTCACATAACAGTTCGCCGAGAAAGAGCGTCGTGACATCACACCGTAAGCCGGATAACGCCAGATCCATCTGCATATAGTTCTAGTACCGTATTAGAAGACGGTTATAATCTAAACAGTAGGACTCAGCTCTACGTTTTTATTTGAAAACAAAAGAAAACAGTCGACAGCAAGTTGACTTATGAATTGTCAACGTTTTGTCACAGGACAGACACGAACGCGGTGATCCAGGCGAGTGCGACGTTACTATCGGCTTCACCGTCACGGCTAGTGACCTTTGAAAACAAACTGACGTACAAAAGAAAGTACAAACCTGATACTTTGGTAAAATGTTTTCCTGAAAAGAGCGTAATATTTAGAAAAGTGTTTTGAAGGCAACTCAAAAGTCACAAATATTGTGTACGTGCTACAATAACACCATAGATACCAGTTGGAACATTGCTAGCAAAATATTTACGTTGCTTTAATAGTCTCAAAGCACCAGGTGTGTACTTTCTTTTGTATATCAGTATACTAAAAAAATAAGGTTATTTCAAATACACAATGCCATTTTAGAAAGTGGTCAAATGTAACCTATGTTCTATTTGGGATTACGCTTTCTTAGTAAAGTACAGATTCTAGTACTTTTTGGGTTGTGTCCCATCCGGGATTCGAACACACACCCTCAGAGTAATCCAAAATATAACATTTGTTACATTGACCACTTTCTAAAATGTTATAAATTACACTGCCATATAAGGGCCGTAGGAGAAGCTGCAGAAATTCAGCTACAGACATCCAAAGTAACAAAATATTTTTCTTAGTTTCTCACAAGGACGTATTGAGAGATTTCATGTTCAACAGATTACCATGTACTCAATCTGCAGGTCCGGGTTAGCATTGATCTTCAGTAACCCATGCTTGTCGTATGAGGAGACTAACGGGATCGGGTGGTCAGGTTCGCTTATTTGGTTGGCACATGTCATCTTTGCCAAATTGCTTAGATGGATGCTCATGCTGCTGATCACTGGATTACCTGGTCCAGACTCGATATATAGCTGCAATGTTGCTGAGTGCGGCGTAAAACTAATCTCACTCACTCACTCACACACTTTGCGAAACATGAATGGTGTACGTCCCAACTTCTAAAATGCCACTCAAACATGTAGCCTGGCGAATTTTAAGCAAATCACACCTTCGAAGTCAATGCATGCACTGTCTGAAGACATATGCAGAATAACACAAGGCAGACGTTGTCCGCTCACTCAACTAAAAATATTTGTACTATTTATTCACAAAGGGCCAGGAGAGCCTCGCAACAACTTATATAAGATAACCTGTTCAACAAGTATTTGAACACGTGACTATATGTCCTGGATTGAGGTGGGCCCCATCCACATCAGTATCAGCTACCTGCAGTTACAAGGCTCACACGGGAATAATGGCACTGTTATACTTCAGGTAGGAATATTTGTTTTGTTTTGTTTGTTTGTTGTTTAACGCCGCACTCAGCAATAATACAGCTATATGGCCTCGGTCTGTAAATAACCGAATCTGATCGTGAGCATCGATCTACGCAATTCGGATACGATGACATGGGGAGGTGGTGAGTTAGTGAGTGAGTTAGTGAGTGATCCCGCTCTATCCCGAAGTCACCTAGGCGATATTTGTTTCTGTTTCCAGGTTCAATCCATTCCTTGTCCTGATTGTCGGGATTCATCTTGGAACTCTTGGCCTGTATCTTACCTTCAGATCCTCGTCACAGAACGTCCTTGCCCTGCTTATAGGTGAGTGAAGATTTGTTGGGCTTCATTACATACTAGTAACATACGTCTGAACCTGAGAGTATAATGCATGTCTTTGTTGCGTGTATATGTGTTAAAGAGTTTTGGAATAACCTGAAACAGTATATACATAGAACATGTAATATCGATGCAAACTATTCAGTTTTTGAGATGCTGTAGGATATTGATACTCGACGCAAGGTTCTCAATCACATTCTTCTAGCAGCAAAAAAAGATAAGTTTATATCACGACTATAAAACATTGAAATTTTTGCGAAAATTCTCAAGGACACTATATTAATTGAATAATATATCTCCAAATACACCAACAGTATTCAAAAATTTAAAAGTAAATGACCGAAAGAACTGCTAAAATAAACTACTATACCTATTATGAGAAAAGGATCCCCCTTCTGTCATGAAATATTGTGGAAATTGTGCAATATTTTAAAATAGCTAAAATGTATAAAATATATAAAACAAACAACAAAACATACGTTTAAACCCTCTGTGTAGAATTGCCTACCTTTGCTGACAGGATCCGCTACAAAGTACTGTGTCTTTTTATCCTTACCTTGTTCTTTCAGAACGATTGGTGGGGTTTGTCTTCATGTTGGCCTCAGTGGTAGCAGACATATACAGATCCAAGCCCGTACACTCACATACATGGAGCTCCATGCTACAACAATACGTCAGCTTCAAGAAGCTCCTCATCCAACATTACCATCTCAAGAGAAAGATTCTAGCTTCTATGCAGGACGTGAAAACCGCCCAGGCTCACCTCCTGAGAGACATCCTCAATCAAAGAGCTGATGTGGCATATGGTAAAGATTTCAAATTCAGTGACATAAATACGGTAGGGGAATTTCTCGCCAGGCACCCACTAACTACGTACATACACTATGAGTCGTACGTGTCTCGTGTGGTTGATGGAGAGCGTGATGTCATGTTTCCGGGAGCTCCCCAATACATCGTCCTTTCTTCGGGAACAACCTCGGGAAAAAGTAAGAGACATCCAAAGGATATGAAATTTTTCGGTAAAATGAGTTGGATGTATTTCGTCTATCTCAGAACCACACTTTTCCGCTTTCGACACATGTCAAAGCTGCAATTATGGCATGATATCCGTGTTAAACCGCCCATCACCAAGTCACATCTGGGTGTTCCTATGGGAGGCGGAAGTGGGTCAGCATATTTTATATGTCCCTTCTCTGCGTCACCACTGGAAGTGTACAGCTTAGAAAAGGAGCAAACGTCACTGTATCTTCACTCGTTATTTGGACTCAAAGAAAGTTGCGTGACACTTTTCAGTTCACTGTCAACCCCGCTTGCACACAACTTCTTCAAAACCATTCAGAAGTATTGGAAACAGTTGTGTGAGGATATCGAATCGGGGACAATAAACCAAGCTATTAACCTTGAACCTGGCATGAGACAAAAACTACAAACATCCTTGACCCCAGATCCAGAAAGAGCCGATGAACTTCGGAAGATATTTCGTAAAGGAACTTCTCACTTCGGTCCACGTGTGTGGCCGAGCATGGCAGCCCTCCACGCTCCGGGAACAGGTAGTTTCTCATTTGCGGTGAGTATCAACACCTTGCAGTAGACCTGTGGTCATTTAAACAAATCAGATTATTTTAGGTTCAAACAGATCTGAACTGATTAAGAAGAAGAATGAAAATATCTGTATCGTCCCCAAATATTGACGGAATATTGCCAGAAATAGCTGAAACCTCACTCGCTCAATAAAAGTTGCAATATCCATTGTAGCCTGTATTTGCTCAAGTTGATCAGCTACTCGGCCTTTCAAGCATCTCTCCGTGTTACATGCAATGATATTTTACTTTCATTCTCCATTCACAGTTGGTTGCAAGAGATGTCTTTGTAATTATATAGTATTTGTATTAATCATCTTGTGCATCTCCTTTGACATGAACTCACCATTGTCCACCCTCGAACAAATAAGGTCAACAAATTGTTGCATAAAAACAAAAAAAGTAACGGACTAAGAGTACGTTCTTGTCGTACACCAACCAAGCAAAAATACTCAAATAACCTGTTTCTTTTACCCGCAGAGACTGCAGACGTATCATAACTGCAGACTGTATGATGCCAAAACACCCAATAATTTACATTAAATGATCAGATTCTTGAGAGACATTTAGAAATACACAATGCCATTTTAGGAAGTGGTCAAATGTAACATATGTTATATTTGGGATTACACTTTCTCAGTAAAGTACAGATTCTAGTACTTTTGGGGGGTTGAGTCCCATCCGGGATTCAAACCCACACCCTCAGAGTCAGACTGACAGTGTGGCAGTAGATGGGTGGATTGGCTGGTCAGTGTCCGTTCCTCCTTGTCCCTGACTTGTCTTTCTGTTGGTCTGTCCACGAACTTCCCCCGTGTGTCAGCTCTGTCTTTAGGCTTCCTCTGTCCTTGCTGCTTCTTAAGGCAGATGAACGAGCAACAAACTGTCGGCGATTACCATGGACATGAGTCGGTCATATTTCGACGGGATTGACATATCTTGACATAGCTTGACATGATTATAATTTACAAAACTGTATTTTACTGAAAAATATGTCCATTTTAGAGAGTATATGTCAGTCAACGATGTTTACTAAATGAACCACATAGAAATAGAAATAGAATGCAGTGATATCAGTGAGAAAACCACACACAATACTATAACCAGTAGAAATTTACCAGTAAGTTCAGAAAAAGATTAATTAACACTTAAAAGGAAGAAATGAATAATGATGAAAGAATGTGAAAAAACAAAGGAAGTTCTATGACAAGTTTTATACTGCTACAAAGGACTACAAGATATGAGCACATCAACAATTTCACAGTGATCTTGATATTGAAACCATTATACAATGAAGTGGATAGTCTACTACTAATGAATGAGATATCTACACCTGTTAAGCCATGTGAAATAACCTCCCAGGAAGTGATGAATTCATCAGAGGGACATAAGGATTTGCAGTTACAGATTCTTAAAAATAACTTCAAGAAAGACACATTAACGACAATCGTGCAGGCGTTACGTGTTTCCTAAAAAGTACCAGAGACAGAAAAAGTAGTGCTCTATATGCTAAATGAGATTTCCGCATAAGTGTATATAAGTATTTGCATGGCTAATAGACCGTTAATGCCTAAATTAATGCCTGATATTCAGATTGGATTCATTACAGGCATATGCATAAGCAATAACATTAGTCTCTTGCACGACATTACTTACGGAACCAGGAGAACCAATAAAAAAAACTGGATAAATAAAAATATCAATACAAATACATGTCCCTAAAATTAAGTAGCACAGACAATTATTGCCCAACAAAGTATGAATTACATGAATATACTATACGTTTACCCAACATTTCTTCTAGGAGATATCATTTTAATTAAATTGAAACAGATTGATTGATTGATTGATTGATTAATTGATTGATTGATAGATTGATTGTTGGATGGATGGATGGATGGATGGATGGATGGGTGGGTTGGTTGGTTGGTTGGTTGGTTGGTTGGTTGGTTGATTGGTTGGTTGGTTGGTTGGTTATCATCACATCCATCCCCCCTGGTAAGACGGGTACTAATTTTGGTTGGTGCCTATATTTGGTTTCGATTCTATCATTACAGACTCAGCTTCTGAAGAAGAACTTTCTGGGAGAGGTGCCAGTGTCATCCGGCGTCCATATCTCGTCTGAGGGTCTGTACGGTCTGAACCTGCACGTGGAGGATCAGACAAAGACGGAATACACAATCCTGCCGTGTCTGAACTTCTATGAGTTCATACCTGAAGACTGTATAGACAAGGAGGATCCCACGACTCTTCTAGCTCACGAGGTAAGCTCGTGTTTGTGTGTGTTTCACTGAATGTTTGTACATTTGAAAATAAGTTGTAGACATTTTTGTTTCTCTATCGTCAACAATATTTTCAGACATACCACGCCGGTCGGTAAATATACGAGGAGGGCAGTGGCTGATTGTATGAGCAATGCCCTACACAGTCAGATTTTAAGTCACAGTTTACAATGCGATCGCTGTTTTTAAGACTGAGGGTCAACTTGTGGTTTCATAACAAGATCTATGTTTCGTGCGTTAGGTAAAATTACGGTTGGTGTGTTGTTTAACGCCACAGGAATATTCCATCTGTATGCAGGCGGTCTGTAAATAATCGAGTCTGGACCAAACAATCCCTATATCTTCCCTGTACCCACAACATTCACCTCTATCTTTCCCCAATAATACCCCATGTTCATCCATACACTTATATTCTATACGCTATATTCTCCCTTTCTCCTTGTCAGATCCTATGTTCATACGTTTTTTTACCCCCTGTAATATCCTATGCTCATCCGTATATTTACCCCCCTGTAATATCCTATGTTCATCTGTATATTTACCCTCTGTAATACCCTTTGTTCATGCGTATATTTACCCCCTGTAATATCCTATGTCCATACCCGTGAAGGTCCGGGTTAGAATGAGCCTTCAGTAACCCATGCTTGTCGTAAGAGGCGACTAACGGGATCGGGTGGTCAGGCTCGCTGGCTTGGTTGACACATGTCATCGGTTCCCCATTTCGCAGATCGATGCTCGTGGTGTTGATTACTGGATTGTCTGATCCAGATTCGATTATTTACAGACCGTTGGAATATTGCTGAGTGCAGTGTACAGCTCATTCACTCACTCACTCACTCACTCACTCACTCCTATGTTCATCCGTATATTTACCCCCTGTAATGTCCTATGTTCATCCGTATATTTATCCCCTGTAATTTCCTAAGTTCATCTGTATATTTACCCCCTGTAATATCCTATGTTCATCCGTATATTTACCCCCTGTAATATCCTATGTTCATCCGTATATTTACCCCCTGTAATATCCTATGTTTATCCGTTTATTTACCTCCTGTAACATCCTATGTTCATCCGTATATTTACCCCCTGTAATATCCTATGTTCATCCGTATATTTACCTGCAATATTCATCCTGTTATTTCCCATATAATATTCTATATCCTCCCCCTGCAGGTTGAGGTAGGTGGAGAGTATGAGATGGTGGTGACGACGTGGATGGGGCTGTACAGATACAGGACCGGGGACGTTGTGCGCGTCAGCAGCTTCACTGGGACGACTCCCAACTACACCTTCTCCCAGAGGTACGATGATGCACTGTTACAGGGGTTTTATTGTAACGGGTTTCGTGTACCAAGGGATGTTTGTCCATTTGTTCTTGATCGCCGCCCTCAGCGGTTGCTTTAGATTAAATGCCCTAATGGAGCAGTGTGCGAAATACTCCTGATGTTGGAAAACGGAAGTAAAAATCTTCAAATCATCATCCGATAATTAAATAGTGACCAGACAGTCCACTGATTGATATTGTGAGCAGTTAACCATATGGTTACCACTACCTTTTTAACAGTCAATATTGTAACGAAATAAGGAAAAGGTTTATTCCCTCCGTGGTGTAGTGGTTAGGTCGTCGGCCCGGAGAGCGGAAGGTCGCGGGTTCGATCCCCGACCGCGGCATGCCAAAAGACGTTAAAATATGGTACCTGTTGGTCCCTGCCTGGCGCCCGGCATTAATGGGTACAACAAGGACTGGTCGGCTCGGAGTCAGTATAATGTGTTTGAGTTGGGTATTCATGCTTCACTGCGGCATGGTATCTCAGTTGGCTAGCACTATAAAACCAGCTTCAGTCTGGGCTAGTACAAGCAGCCGCACCTACTCTTTCTTAGTAAAGTAGAGATTCTTAAGTACTCACGGTAATAGAAATAAAATGGTTTATGATGTTCATTTTATCAATAATTTTAAACCAAGTAACATTAATTTGTTAAACATTCAATAATCACCCTTTTACACAAAGTTTACTCTTTGACATTATTTGTAAATTCTTCCGAGAAAGATTATTTTACAGGACAGAAAATCTGTACAAATAATTTATTTAATGTATTATGAAATTTCATCAGATTTCAAATTTAATTTTCCGATGCAAGCTATAGTAAGCAAATAAGGTGAACTCTTCACATGTCTGCTAATATAGTTTCTGTACTAATAATATGTTTAATATATTTTTATTAATATTTACAAAATTAACGATATCGGTAAATTGGAAATTATGTGTGTTTTTATCGCAATATATTTCACACTTTTATTCTTAACACACGATTATCATATGATCACATGTTCACAGCGTTGATTGTCACGAGCACAGAGACTATGAGTCCGGACATTGAAACTTTGATCGCCAATGTGTTCAGCTTCTTTAGTCCAGAGATAGATCGGGGAAAACCTCTTGTTAGTCCCGACAGAGTGGTTTACCGCACAAGTCGAGCATTGGGAGTTCCATATGACAAAGTTGATTCAGTTGTATACAAAGCAAAGCAAGTAGGGGTCGTCTCAAAAGTTAAAAAAGGAAGAAAACAGAAGTTCCAGTAAATAAAAATAAACCATGCCCCAGTTACATGTATACAAAACAAAGCAAGTAGGGGTCGTCTCAAAAGTTAAACCAGGAAGAAAACAGAAGCTCGGGTAAAAAAAATAGACCAGTTACATGACGTACAGCTTAACCTTGAGTCAAGGTCATGTTGTCCTGAGAACGCCGGTCCGCCATTGTGAACTCAACACCATCGAGTTTATCTGGGCGAATTGCAAGGGGTTTGTGGCTAGGCATAACGCGGTGGTTCATGTTTCGTTTGGAATTGTAACTCTAGAGGTTTGGCGGAAAGCTGAGGTCACGTCATTGCCATTGAGAGAAGTCAAGTTCAACCAATCATCCTCTCTCTGGCAGACTCCGAGTCAGAATCCAGTGACTCTGACATCGATGAAACCTGATTCAGCCTCATATAGTGATGAATCATACTTGAATCATCATGTAATCTTCACATCCCCTGCTTTTGACATTTGAGAAGAATAAAGCACAAAATATAAAATGCCACATTTCATTATGCATATAATGATTTAGTTTCCTTTTTCAATATTCGTAACAGTAAATCTCTAAAAAGAACCTATTCAGCGCTTGCTTCACATCTTCAAACAATTGAAAAATATTATAGGACAACGAAGTCTCCCTACCTTCAAATTGTATTCCCACAGTGGAAGAAAAATATTAAATATTGTTTGCATTTTTTTATAATAATATCTACCGATATACATTTTGCTTCATATGATTCCTAAATTTAATTGTGATATCTGTTTTGTCCAGACAGACGGATGGACGGACGAACATCGCTCACGCCATTAGAGTGTTCCGGATTGTTAGATTACATGTGCCTTTACAATTCGATATGAATGAGATATACCTCCCGCCTTGTATTGGCATTTTGAATACAAAGTTCTCTTTATTCAACAAAGTATGTTGCACGCTCTGGCGAGCGCGGGCTTGTAAAAATCCGTCAGTATTCAGCGTTATCTACAATTCAGGGTGACATGACTACCTCGTCATTGCGCGCATCATATCAACAGTGCTTTCATTTTTTTCATTTCATGAGAGGTTTCCTTAAAGAATGCACTCGAAAAACCACGGGTTCTTTAACCTTGCTGACCTGTGATGTCGTGCATCCATCTGCCTATGAATGCGTTATCGTTGCATAATTAAGTTCCCTCCACCTTTCCTCCACCAAGAAATGAATATTGAACATCAATGAAACCCCAACCAACAATTAAAGGCACGATTTGAGACGACCCCTAAATGACAATGCACGTGCAAATGAATCTTCCGGTCTCAACAGTACAGCATGCAGTTGTTGTCAATCATTTTTGATGCAAATTTTACCAGTGAAGGACCCGTGCAGGTCCGGGTAAGAATGAACCTTCAGTAACCCATGCTTTTCGTAAGAGGCGACTAACGGTATCGGGTGGTCAGGCTCGCTGGCTTGGTTGACACATGTCATCGATTCCCAAATGCGCAGGTCGATGCTCATGCTGTTGATCACCGGATTGTCTGGTCCAGACTCGATTATTTACAGACCGCCGCCACACAGTTAGAATATTGCTGAGTGCGGTGTAAAACTATACTCACTCACTGATGCAAATTTATTACATGTTTACCTGTAAAACGACCTTTTCGAAGATGTTTGGATGAAAATAATGAGAGGCTTATTTGGCAATAACGATATTGTTGGAATACTGCTAAATGCGGCATAAACTATACTCACTCACTCACACATGCTACTATTTTTCCACAGATCGTCTGACTTTATTGACAAGTACCCAGAGTTCTTGTTCACGAAGGCCGTCCACGACGCCGCTAGAACGTGGACGTCAGGAACATCGTTATACAACTACATGGCATGTGAAAGCCCGCATGTAGAGGCAATAACAGGTGTGTGAACACGTCCTGACGACATATTAGGCATCAGTAGAGTAATAGCTTTGATAAGTGTAGTCCTCAGAGTGTTGGTATGTAAACACAGTATCTCCCTTACCGTCCACGCCAGGATGCCCTGGTTGTGGTTCGAAATGAACGTAACATGAAAATATTTCAGTTGGATCAGAGCGTTGGTATGTAAACACAGTATCTCCCTTACCGTCCACGCCAGGATCCCCTTCTTGTGGTTCGAAATGAACGTAACATGAAAAATTAATATTTCAGTTTGATTATGTAGTGGTACCTGTAGTTAGCATTAGCGGTATCTCTCCCACTAGTCTAAGGGAGACAACTCGGTACGGGAATTCCGGTAATAAAACATTGCTACCGACTCCCGGCTTGTTCATCGCTCAACACTGTAGTGTATCACCTTCTCATATCACCACACAATATCTTCTCGTTTTCACACACTTTTAATCACCCGAAGAGAAACGATAGAGGTACATTGCTAGGTTTGAATATGGCCACCGAGTGACGTCACATAGTACTAGCTTGTATTTATACTCTACCTGAAATAATCTCTAACCCAGCCATGCAGTAAATCCGTGCACGTGAATAACATGAATATCCTCAATCCAAAGTTTAACAAATCAATACAGTACAAACACTATAATGTTAGAATGAAGTCGTTATAACTAACACAACATGGTGTCAGAAGTGGGATTTGGTGCGAGAAATTACAGTAAGCATGTTTTGATCAATCAATGAATTGCAGTCGTCATGTATTGGCATTCACGTAACTGGCGAGAACGCGTTTCGGGGGCTTGGACCGATCGTCTCTCTGCACAGATACAACCAGTTGCCAAGCTTTCTTCTCGGTCTCGTCAATCAAGGATAATCGTCCTGAGGCTCAGGTTACAAGGATAATCGTCCTGATAGAATTGCTGTATCGGCGATCGTTCAATATTCAAAATGAATAATTTGAAGGCACCAACATCAATGGATTTAACGGGAAATCTAGCAGCAACTTTTCGGATTTGGAAACAAGAATTTGAATTGTACAAGGTTGCAAGCTGTCTAGACAGAAAACCTGCAAAAGTCATTGCTTCAACGTTCCTTCACGTCATATGTAAGGACGCACGACAAGTGTATAACACTTTCGATTTTGAAAATGACAGTGATCGTGATAACTGTGACATTTTGATGCAAACAATTTAAGATTATTGTAATCGCAGAAAGAACATTACATTTGACAGAAATGTTCTTGGAACCAGAACTCAACAGATTGGTGAAGAATTTGACAGCTTTTATACTGACATACAGAATAAAAGCACAACTTGTGAATTTGGAGACATGAGAGATTCATTGGTCAGAGATAGAATTGTAATTTGCATTCAGAATGAAGAAACAAGATCACGTATCTTGAGAAAACAGAATTTAACTCTAGAATTGGGTTTGAGTATCTGTAGAACAGCTGAAACAACAGTGTTACAAGTTCGAAGCTTACAAGATTACAAAGCTGCTCATGTTGGGTATGTACGGAAGAAAGTTTCTCGTCATAAGGATCTACATCTAAGGTAAAGCCTAAACAACATCAAAGAAAATCTTCTGATAATTGCACCTATTGTAGTAAGGAAAAACATGACAGGAAATTTTGTCCGGTTATGTCAGAGCTGTTGAGGATAGTAGTGAGTGTGAACAAGTTTCAGATGAACAGGAATCTGTATCGAGTCGATCAGTACAGAGGAAACAGTGTTCAACAGTACCAGTCCTCAGATTACTGACAAGTGCATCTTTCAACTTTTAGTCGACGAAACACCCATCCCCCCTAAAAGCTGACACTGGAGCTGTTTCCAAACAGAGAGCTACAGAAGCCCAGAAGAATTCTCCGGGGAATTCAAAACCCGCTGGACGTCGTGGGATGATTAGTGCTACAGTGAAATACATAGTTAAGTCTGTACAAGAAACATTCTATATTTTAACAGAGAGTAGCCATTTACTCTTAAGTTTCGATGCTTGTGAAGGTCTAAGACTTATTCAGTTCTGCACATCTGTAACTAAACGGGATATGTTATCCTAGTTCCCAGGTCTATTTACAGGTCTAGGTTAAATGAATGGAGAGTATGATCTCAAGTTGAAGTCTGATGCACAACCGTACAATCCAAACGTGCCAGGAAAGGTGACTGCGGATGCTTCATCTTATGGATTGGGAGCCGTTTTGATGCAACAGCACAAGCAAGATTGGAAACCAGTGGCCATCGCATCTATCTCTCCCTCCGATATGGAAACCAGCTATGCTCAAATCGAAAAGGAAGCACTTGCTCTCCAGGACTATCTCATTGGCATTCAGTTTGTATTGGAAACTGACCACAAACCCTTAGTTCCTCTCCTAGGTCTAAAAGGTCTTGACACATTACCACCCAGAATTCGACAGCTCTGATTATGCGATTATTTTTGGTTTATATCAAAGTATTGTTTAAAACATAACACCATGTAGAATTATTCTTACAGGTACTGAATAAGCGCCAATACAGTTCAGACTTTTTTGACATAATATCGCTAAGTTCAGATATTTCATGTGAAAATTCAACATATCATTAAATCAACTGAGAGGTTGAGTTTCTTTTGCCTCTTATTTTAAGAGATAATGGTTTTCGTACATTACATACAGGTGACGTCACGTCTTCGCAATACTTCTATATATTTCTGGAACTTGAGGATAACTCTGCCTTAACAGATGAAGACAAAGAAAAGGTACGTCAATGCTAAAGAGATAAAACTTAGTGAGCGAGCGAATGAGTTACAGTTACACAGCAATCTACAATTTTACAAAGACCCCTGATGATAATACTTTTTGAGATGTTAAGAGCGCTACATGATGCGTATTTCTGAAATGACCCCGGTGATCCATGGCGTTTGTATTGTCCACAAGTGCTTACAGAAAGATATATAAGCCACTACATTGTTGGTTAGAGAGAAAGTATTCAAGTGAGTGAGTGAGTTTAGTTTTACACCACACTCAGCAACATTCCAGCTATATGGCGGCGGTCTGTAAATAATCGAGTCACGACAATCCAGTGATCAACAGCATGAGCATCGTTCTGCACAATTGGGAACCGATGACATGTGTCAACCAAGTCAGTTGAAGATCAATATTCTAACCCGGACGTTCACGGGTGAGAAAGTATTCAAGATAATAGCAATGGCTGCCTGACCCTGAAGGCATGGATGATACGGGTAAGGTAGTGCAGGTATCACGGAGCTTTCGCTTCACACGGTCCGCTTTATAAAGGGAAACAACTCCGAACTTACGCCTTTGAGCCAAATTCGTTTGTGAGATCAAAGCGCCATGCGGATTCTGGAACAAATGACCGATTCCCACGGTAGCAGATACCAATAGTAGATAAAGAGATTTCATCACACTTTACACTTAATTTTGTTACAGCCAGAAACTTTACTTCAACCAAACAAAATTATGTGTTGGCAACTGCCTTTTGCCTATATGGCAGTTCCGCCACTGCCAGCATATGTGCAACGCGAGAAGAAAGGTATTGACAATCTCATTTCGTTTCAGGTTGATAGTGCATTACAATCCCACTTTGAATTCTTTCGCGGCAGCCGTATAACGGGGATGATTGGCGCTCCTGTTGTGATCCAGGTGAAGTCCGGGACGCTTGACGTCATCAAGCAGGTCAACTGTGACCTCAACTCAAAGGCTGCAGTACAACAGTACAAGTACCCGAAGTTTACGACAAAACCTGAATTGATACGAATCCTGTTGGCAAACAGGTTGTGATTGTTAACCTGGCAAGATTTCCTACCTGGATATAGAAACCACGCCATGAAACCTTTTAATCTTGTTGCGAAACAGTTTGTCAATGTGAAACTGGGTTAAAATGTCAACTAATTGATGAACTTATCACTGCTCGAACTGTTGCAGTTTTCACACACATTATTATTCAGAATTTGCAACTGCTTCCGACTGTAAAATATCTTGCACCATTTTCAAGCTAAACGTGACTACAACTGATGCTGTTCTCGCGTATATAGATATTGTATTTTGTACCTTTCTAGAAAATGCATGGAAGAAAATTCAGACGTTCCTCCACAGCAACATATCCAATAAATATTTACATGATTTGTGATGCTGTTGTTCGTTTATTTATTTTTCAATTTCCATTTCACATGGTTCATGCAATGATGTGTTTCGTATACTAGGCGTCATTAATAAAGGGTCACTCGGTCATTCAATATCTTGTGTACCCTCCTCACGCGTCCAAGACATAGGTGCACCTTGTTCTCATGCTCCTTGTCATATTGATAAAGAAAGCTTGGGGAAACGCACTCCATTCCTCTACTAGAGCTCTGTGGAGCACTGGGAAATCCACTGGAGCTGGGTGACGTGTCTCGACCGAGTTCATCCCAGGCATGCTCAATTGGGCTGAGGTCTGGCGAGCATGCTGGCCACTCAACCTGCTCTACACCCTGCCTAAGGAATTCCATGAGAATCCTGGCCCTATGAGTCCCAGCGTTGTCGTCCTGCAGTACAGAGGGTCTTTGCAGGAATGGTACTGCTATAGGAGCCAGAATCTCGTCCAGGTAAGATTACCGTCGACCACGTGCAGTGGGGTACGTCCAGTAGGAGTTATCCATGCCGAAACCATGACCGACCCTCGCCAAATCGGTAATGCGTAGTTACAGTTGCAACTGTGATTCGCTCACCATTGCGACGATAAATTCTGATTACCATCATGGCAGAACAAATTGATTCTGCTTTCATCCGGGAAGAGCACACGAGACCATTGTCGTTGATTCTAGCGGCCATGATGTCTACTCCATCTTTAACGCGCCTGCCTGTGATGTGGTGTTAGTTGGTGACGAACTGCAGTTCGCCTGCAGCGGAGTCCGGCTGCCCTTAAAGGTCGACGAACGGTGCTCCTGGATATATATACATTGTTTACATTGAAGTGTTCTGCCTAAAGATCTGCTATGTAACGCAGTGTTAATTATGTGCCTACCATCTCAGACTGTTGTGACCTTTTCGACGTGCAAATTCCACGGACTCATTGGCTTGAAATCTCTGCCACAGTCTACCAAAAGCACTCGGACTCACATTAAAGTTTGCCCAGATTCCAAAAGGCCTATAGCCTGACCCCTTTCAGTATGTGTCAAGAAACGTCTCATTTTAAGCTGCGATTTCAAACAGGTACCTGAACAGTGAACGACAGTGAAAAAGCAACCATGCATGTGTATTGTCCTCCACTTTCCATGGATAGAGCGACTTGCACGTGCAAATCATTGACATTAAGTGGCAGGTGGATTACCATATTGACAATTTGAATAAAAAATGTGCCATTTGTAACAGAATGTATGAGGACGCTAAAGAACGTAAAACTGACATTTCAATGGCTTGATGTGTTTTTCCATACTGCTCGGAAAGTTTGTAAAACATTCAGTTGTATATATTTCAAACGGAAACGAAGAATTTACGACTTTTAGGAAATAGTGTTACCAATAGCTCGACCCATCATTAATGGCGCCGAGTACAGAAAAGAATATGTACATGTGATACAGTCGATCAAATGATGCTTTCAGTATTCCAATAAGAGTCACGGAATAACCATCATTCCTCTGTTTTCTGTCCAGTAGTAAGATGAGGGGCAAACAGCACTGTAGCATATATCTTCAGACTGAACTGGCAGATTTAACTGTATCCGTGATTGAATACATAACCATGCTCGGCAGTCTCTTAGTTTTTATTCCCGACATGCATTGCCTTACATACAGGAAACGGAAGTGGTCGGTACTCTCCAGGGAGTAATCATTGTAGCTGTCAACTGCTAGTACTACACCTCTTTTCTTCTTAATAAAATTGAATTACAACTGTCAACTAAATAATGTGAAACATTCAACCACTTACTTTAACTATACTTTACCAATGAACATGTTTATGTTAAGCCTTAACCAAAGTGGAATTTTCATTCCTTAATCCATCAATACTTTGTTTCAGTCCAATAAAACACTTGGAAAGATATCCAGATAACTGTTCACAAAACTTCAATATGTCAGTGACTTTCACAATTACAGTTCATGCATGTAATCTGGCCTGACAGAAGTAAGTCTTCATGCTCCATTCAGGTGTTCACTAACTATACAAGTCTTTATGCATCATCCACTATATATCCGACGATGGTCTGGGTGATGAATTTGAAACTTGTGGTTTGCTAAATACTAGTTGACTATTATCTAGCTCGCTCTCACATTCATCCTGAAAATTCATAACAGGATTATTCACAACACTTTCATGCTCTTTTCTCACTGGAGAATTCACAACACTTTCTTCCCTGTCATGAAACTTTTTCACTGCAGTAATATTTCTCGTATATTCAACTCCTTGAGGAGACTCGATTACCACACTGTTCCCCTTTCTTTCAACCACTGTGAAAGGTGTCGGGTTAAATGGTGTAGACAATTTATTTTCACGATACTGCTTCACAAGCACACTATCTCCACTCTGAATATTACTTTCACAAGCTCTCCTCCTCTGATCAGCATACTCTTTTCCTTTCTTCTCGTTGTCTCTGTCTCGTACTTCACTGTCTTCCTTCTGGTAGTCTTGAATTTGTGGTATCTTCGTCCTGATGATTCTCTTGTACATCAGCTCCGCTGGACTTCTCCCAGTTGTCGAGTGTGGTGTACTCCAGTACATTATCAAGTAATGATCTAACTCTGATTTCCAGTCTCCGCCTTCTGCTTGAACAATTTTGATCCGCTTCAGTATAGAACGATTTTGCCGTTCTACTTCTCCATTCGCTTGAGGCCACAATGGTGTAGTTGTCCCATGCTGGATACCATTCACTTGCATGAATGTTTTGAACTGTTCGCTGATAAACTGAGGTCAATTGTCAGTTTGTATTGACAAAGGCAGTCCATGAGTTAGGAAGAATTTTGATAGTACTGTCACAATCTTCTCAGCTACCGTTGACTTCATGATTTATATCTCGAAGTACCTGCTGTAGAAGTCCACTACTACAAAGATGTAATCTCCTGATGGTAATGGTCTTAACAAATCAGCAGCCAAATGTTGCCATGGTGATGTTGGCATCTCTGTTCTTGACATCGGGGTTGGTAATAATAATAATAATAATAATAATAATAATACTTTATTGCCCAAGAAGGGAATTTGTCTTGCGTTATGGACGCTGGAATTACAATGAATACATATATCCATTACACACACATTACAACACGAACATCAGTCACACGATCTGAGGAGCTCTCACAGATCACAGTGAGCAATCAACAGTGGTTAAAATGATTTAAAGTACGTTGAAACATGACCAAATGCTGTTGTTTTCACAGATTAAATGAATGTAAAGGGGAAGGATAAAACTGGACATTAAGAAAATAAATAAATAAACTACAATGTATAACACTTTAAGACTAGCACTGGATACAGAAGAGATACATAAAACACAGTAGAATGCTGAGAAATCTTCCTTCTTAGTCCGGAAGTATATTATCATTTCTTTTGTCTTTTTAGTATTTAGGACAAGAAAGTTATCTTCACACCAGTGGTGCTGGTTGTGACACTAGCTGACATCCATAACAAGTGCGACAATACTGTTCTGCTTCCCTGTCGATTCCAGGCCACCAAACTTTAGTGCGTAGTCTCCGCTTCATGCTCACTATTCCAGGGTGTCCTTCATGAGCTAACTTGAGTACTTGCGTCCACAAACTCTTCGGGATTACAATTCTAGTCCCTCGTAACACCAGTTTCCCTACTGCTATTATCTCACTTCTGATTGGAACAAACTGTTCGCAATCAATCCTATGCAACTGTCCATTCAGTAGACATTGTCTCACGTCTTCCAGCTCTTGGTCGCTGTCTGACTCTCTCTCTCTATGTCTCTTGTTGTAAGAGCTACCGGAGTTGCCTCACTTGCCACAAATTTAATGTATTCTTCTATCTTGGAGTGACATGTAGAATTCTTCTTCACTTTCAGGAGCCTTGACGAACTGTCTGCAATGTTGTTCTTCCCAGGAATGTGTCTAACTGTGTACTTGTACGGTTGCATTCGAAGAACCCATCGTTCGATTCTTGCACTGGGCTTTGATCTTTGAGAGTAGATAAATTCCAGAGGTTTGTGATCTGTCAAAAGTTCAAATTCTGCTCCGTAGATGTAAGCATGAACTCTCTCACAAGCCCAAACTAGTCCTAAAGATTCTTTCTCGGTCTGTGAGTATCTCCTTTCAACATCTGCCAAACTTCTGCTTGCGTACGAGATAATTCGATACTCGTCTCTTTGCATCTGTACTAGAACTGCTCCTAGACCAACAGGACTTGCATCTGCAATCACCTGTGTTTTCGCTTGCTTGTCGAAATATGCCAAAGTCTCGGCACTTCCTAGTCTGTCTTTTAATTATTGAAAGGCCTCCTACTGTTCAGGTCCCCATACAAATGGTTGATCTTTCCTGGTGAGTCTCCGTAATGGTTCAGAAACTGTCGCGAGATTCTCAATGTATCTTGCCGTGGAGTTTACTAGTCCTAGAAATCTTCTTACTTCACTTGCACTTTCAGGTGCCCTGGCTTCCTGCACTGCTTTTATCTTTGTCTCTGTAGGTCCTATTCCTTGATCTGAAAGTACATGCCCCATGAACTCAAGTTTCTTCATCTTGAATAGACACATGTCCGGGTTCAGTTTCATCCCTCGGTCTCGTATTACATCCAATACTTGTCTCAATCGTTTGTCGTGTTCTTCGTCTGTTGCTGCATGCACGATGATGTCATCAAGTATGTTGTGTGCTCTGTCACAGTTCTGTAATAGTTGCTGTAAAACCTTTTGGTACATTTCAGGTGCACAGGATATGCCAAACATTAACCGTTTGTAACGATACAGTCCCTTGTGAGTGATGAATGTCGTTATGTCTCTCGCATCTTCTGACAGTTCTTCTTGATGGTAGGCCCACTTGATGTCAAGCTTGCTGAAGATTTTACTCTGGTTGAAATCTTGTAGAACCTCGGCGATAGTTGGAATTGGGTGTCTGGCTCTCCTCACAGATTCGTTTGCCAATCTCATGTCAACTCAGTCTAATGTCATTTTCACCTCTCGCCACGACGACCACAGGTGATATACAAGAACTTGGTCCTACAACTTTTTCGATAATGTCCAACTCCTTAAATTCATCCAACTTCTTTCTTAATCTATCACGCAGATGATATGGAATCCGTCGCAAAGGTTGGGCGACAGGTTGAGCATCTGCATCTACTGGAATGTTAAGTTGAAAATTGTTCAGCTTACCAAATCCTTGTAAGCAATCTTGGTAATCTGTCTTGATCTTGTCGGTTGTGTTGGACGAGCTGACAGCGTTCACATTTAGTCCTAACTTCAATACCCATAGCTGTATAGCTGTCTTTCTTCCCAGCAAAGATGGTCCCTTTTCTTCAATCACTGTAAACTCGACTTGTTTCAAGAGTCTGTCACACCAATTCACTGCACATGTAAATGTTCCTGTCACTTGTAGAGCCTTTGTAGATCCATATGGACACATGTTCCTTGTTTCCTTCTTTGATGAACACTTTATCCATCTAGCTTTCAAATGCTCCTGTGTATTTCTGTCAATGATATTACAAGTTGTACCTAAGTCAATGAGCATCTTCAGTAGCACTCCACCAGCAACTATGTCCCCTTCATAATCTTCTGAATCACTAGAAACACTGAATGAAAAGTCTTTCTCACTTTCTTCTTTTTCTGTGTCAACCTGATTAACTGATTTCTTGTGATTGTAGTTTCTGTGATGATTTCGTCTGTGGTCATCTCTTGATTAAGTCTTGCAGCATGTCTCAAAATGTCCAACACCCTTACACTTTCTGCACTTCTTTCCCCTAGCAGGGCAATTTGAGTCTTTATGCATATGATCTTCAAACCCACAACAGTAACATCTGACCTTCGGGTAATCCCTCTGAGACTGACCTGCCTTGAATTTCCCCCTGACTGATAGTCTGTTAACTCCCATATTTAAACCTTCCATCGTTGTAGCTTGCCTTTCTGTATCCTCGAATATCCTCGCCATCTCTCTAACTTTCTTCAAGTTAAGCACTGTACCTTTTTCCAGAAACTTCCGCCGAAGTTGATTTGAGTGACACTTCTCAATAACTTTATCCCTGATTTACACATCCACCTAATCTAAATCTCCAAAATCCCAAGATTCACTTTGTTGACGCAACCTTCGGACGAACTGTTCCATCGTCTCAGTCGGAGACTGTTTCATATTACGAAAGAAACATGTGTCTCTCATATGGAATGTTCGATTGCGGTGTGAAATACTGATTTAACGCTTTAACACACTTCTTGAAACAATTATCGTCTCCAGCCACGTCTGGTAATGTAAAAAAATGTCCTGCACACGCATACCAGCTTTATGCAACAACAACGCTTTCATCTATTCCAGTTTCTTGACCCCTTTTCCAGTCGCGAAAAGTTTGTAGGCACGAAGCCATCGTTTCCAACGAGGCGCTAATCCACTCGCATCTGAGCAGTCAAATTGAGGTAAATCCCCAACATCCCAGATCGAAACAGCAGCCATGATCTTCTGTCCGATCTAAGTTTTCTCTCGTCGCCAAATGTAGCATATATCTTCAGACTGAACTGGCAGATTTAACTGTATCCGTGATTGAACACATAACCATGCTCGGCAGTCACGTTTGTATTCCCTACATGCATTGCCTTATATACAGGAAACGGAAGTGGTCGGTACTCTCCAGGGAGTAATCATTGTAGCTGTCAACTGCTAGCACTACAAGCACATCTGTGATTCAAAGAACCGTTGTTATGACTGTTGGTTTACGTAAAGTAATCCATTGCTGGGTACAGTGTGTAAAATTAGACAGGTTCAATGAAGACTGAAGAAATAAATGAATTTGACAGTAACATGTCTGAAATAAAATGTGCCAATATGAATCTGTCCGTTATTTAAGCAGGGCCTGTAATTTCCAACTCATGGACCTATGACTTTTATGTAGTCATTAATATAAGTCAGGTTATCTGGAAATCAAACATGTTCAGCGAATATGAAATGCGAGACAGAAATGTACCCGTACAGATCCGGGTTGGAATTGGTCTTCAGTAACCCATGCTTGTCGTAAGAAAGGAGACTAACAGGAATGCGTTTCGCCAAGCTTTCTTTATCAACTTGACAAGGAGCATGAGAACAAGGTGCACCTATGTCTTGGACGCGTGAGGAGGGTACACAAGATATTGAATGACCGAGTGACCCTTTATTAATGACGCCTAGTATACGAAACACATCATTGCATGAACCATGTGAAATGGAAATTGAAAAATAAATAAACGAACAACAGCATCACAAATCATGTAAATATTTATTGGATATGTTGCTGTGAAGGAACGGTTGAATTTTCGTCCATGCATTTTCTAGAAAGGTACAAAATACAAAATCTATATACGCAAGAACAGCATCAGTTGTAGTCACATTTAGCTTGAAAATGGTGCAAGATATTTTACAGTCGGAAGCAGTTGCAAATTCTGAATAATCATGTGTGCGAAGACCACAACAGTTTGAGCAGTGATAAGTTCATCAATTAGTCGACATTTTAACCCAGTTGCACATTGACAAACTGTTTCGCAACACGATTAAATGGTTTCATGGCGTGGTTTCTATATCCAGGTAGGATATCTTACCACAGTTAACAATCACAACTTGTTTGCCAACAGGATTCGTATCAGTTCGGGTTTCATCGTAAACTTCGGGTACTTGTACTGTTGTACTGCAGCCTTTGAGTTGAGGTCACAGTTGACCTGCTTGATGATGTCAAGCGTCCCGGACTTCACCTGGATCACAACAGGAGCGCCAATCCTCCCCGTTATACGGCTGCCGCGAAAGAATTCAAAGTGGGATTGTAATGCACTGTCAACCTGAAACGAAATGAGATTGTCAATACCTTTCTTCTCGCGTTGCACATATGCTGGCAGTGGCGGAACTGCCATATAGGCAAAAGGCAGTTGCCAACACATAATTTTGTTTGGTTGAAGTAAAGTTTCTGGCTGTAACAAAATTAAGTGAAAAATGTGATGAAATCTTACAACTATTGGTATCTGCTACCGTGGGAATCGGTCATTTATTCCAGAATCCGCATGGCGCGTTGATCTCACAAACGAATTTGGCTCATAGGCGTAAGTTCGGAGTTGTTTCCCTTTATAAAGCGGACCGTGTGAAGCGAAAGCTCCGTGATACCTGCACTACCTTACCAGTATCAGCCATGCCTTCAGAGTCAGGCAGCCATTGCTATTATCTTGAAGGTCCAAGTTAGAATATTGATCTTCAGTAGCCCATGCGTGTCGTAAGAGGCGACTAACAGGATCAGGTAGTGAGGCTCGCTGACTTGGTTGACACGTCATCGGTTCCCAATTGTGCAGAACGATGCTCATGCTGTTGATCACTGGATTGTCGTGACTCGATTATTTACAGACCGCCGCCATATAGCTGGAATGTTGCTGAGTGTGGTGTAAAACTAAACTCACTCATTCACTTGAATACTTTCTCTCTAACCAACAATGTAGTAGCTTATATATCTTTCTGTAAGCACTTGTGGACAATACAAACGCCATGGATCACCGGGGTCATTTCAGAAATACGCATCATGTAGCGCTCTTAACATCTCAAAAAGTATTATCATCAGGGGTCTTTGTAAAATTGTAGATTGCTGTGTAACTCATTCGCTCGCTCACTAAGTTTTATCTCTTTAGCATTGACGTACCTTTTCTTTGTCTTCATCTGTTAAGGCAGAGTTATCCTCAAGTTCCAGAAATATATAGAAGTATCGCGAAGACGTGACGTCACCTGTATGTAATGTACGAAAACAATTATCTCTTAAAATATAAACTCATTGTCTGAGGTATACTAAGAGGCAAAAGAAACTCAACCTCTCAGTTGATTTAATGATATGTTGTTTTTTCACATGAAATATTTGAACTTAGCGATATTATGTCAAAAAAGTCTGAACTGTACTGGCGCTTATTCAGTACCTCTTAAAAATAATTCTACATGGTGTTATGTTTGTAAACTATACTTTGATATATAACATTGAAAATAATCGCATTATCAGAACTGTCGAATTCTGGGTGGTAATGTGTCAAGACCTTTTAGACCTAGGAGAGGTACTAAGGGTTTGTGGTCAGTTTCCAATACAAACTGAATACCAATGAGATAGTCCTGGAATCTTTCACATGCCCATGTGAGAGCAAGTGCTTCCTTTTCGATTTGAGCATAGCTGGTTTCCGTATCGGAGGGAGAGCGAGATGCGAATGCCACTGGTTTCCAATCTTGCTTGTGTTGTTGCATCAAAACGGCTCACAATCCATAAGATGAAGCATCCGCATTCACCTTTCCTGGCACGTTTGGATTGTAGATTGCGAGAAATGTGCTGCTACTGACAGCTTGCTTGATTCTCGACAAAAGCAGTTTTCTGTGGATTGTCCCAGTGCCATGCATTCTTCTTGTTAAGATGCCAGGGCATCCTGGCGTGGACGGTAAGGGATATACTGTGTTTACATACCAACACTCTGAGGACTACACTTATCAAAGCTATTACTCTACTGATGCCTAATATATCGTCAGGACGTGTCCACACACCTGTTATTGCCTCTACATGCTGGCTTTCACATGCCATGTAGTTGTATAACGATGTTCCTGACGTCCACGTTCTAGCGGCGTCCTTAACGGCCTTCGTGAACAAGAACTCCGGGTACTTGTCGATAAAGTCAGACGATCTGTGGACAAATAGTAGCATGTGTGAGTGAGTGAGTATAGTTTATGCCACATGTAGCAGTATTCCAACATTATCGTTATTGCCAACTAAGCCTCTCATTATCTTCATCCCAACATCATCGAAAAGGTCGTTTTACAGGTAAACATGTAATAAATTTGCATCAGAGATGATTGACAACAATTGCATGCTGTACTTTGGAGACGGGAAGATTCATTTGCACGTGCATTGTCATTTAGGGGTCGTCTCAAACCGTGGCTTTAATTGTTGGTTTGGTTTTCATTAGTGTTCAATATTCATTTCTTGGCGATAACATAGTCGTTTATGACAGGTCCGCAGGGCCTGCTTTTGGTAGAGGATCTTAATTATGCAATGATAACGCATTCATAGGCAGATGGATGCAGGACATCACAGGTCAGCAAGGTTAATGAACTCGTGTTTGTTTGTGGTTTCATTCTTTAAGGAAACCTTTTATTAAACGATAAAAACAAAGCACTGTTGATATGATGCGCGCAATGAAGAGGTAGTCATGTCACCCTGAATTGTAGATAACGCTGGATGCAACCGGATTTCAACAAGCCCGCGCTCGCTAGAGCGTGCAACATACTTTGTTGAATACAGAGAACTTTATTCAAAATGCCAATACAAGGCGGGAGGTATATCTCATTCATATCGAATTGTAAAGGCACATGTAATCTAACAATCCGGAACACTCTAATGGCGTGAGCAATGTTCATCCGTCCGTCCGTCTGTCTGGACAAAACAGAAATCACAATTAAATTTAGGAATCATATGAAGCAAAATGTATATCGGTAGATATTATTATAAAAAAAATACAAACATTTTTTAATATTTTTCTTGCACTTTTGGAATACAATTTGAAGGTAGGGAGACTTCGTTGTCCTATAATATTTTTCAATTGTTTGAAGATGTGAAGCAAGCGCTGAACAGGCTCTTTTTAGTGATTTACTGTTACGAATATTGAAAAAGGGAAAATAAATCATTACATGCATAATGAAATGTGGCATTTTATATTTTGTGCTTTATTCTTCTCAAATGTCAAAAGCAGGGGATGTGAAGATTACATGATGATTCAAGTATTATTCATCACTATATGAGGCTGAATCAGGTTTCATCGATGTCAGAGTCACTGGATTCTGACTCGGAGTCTGCCAGAGAGAGGATGATTGGTTGAACTTGACTTCTCTCAATGGCAATGACGTGACCTCAGCTTTCCGCCAAACCTCTAGAGTTACAATCCCAAACGAAACATGAAACATGTTATGCCTTGCCACAAACCCCTTGCAGTTCGCCCAGATAAACTCGATGGTGTTGAGTTCACAATGGCGGACCGGCGTTCTCAGGACAACATGACCTTGACTCAAGGTTAAGCTGTCCGTCATGTAACTGGTCTATTTTTTTTACTCGAGCTTCTGTTTTCTTCCTGGTTTAGCTTTTGAGACGACCCCTACTTGCTTTGTTTTGTATACATGTAACTGGTTTATTTTTTTTACTCGAACTTCTGTTTTCTTCCTGGTTAACTTTTGAGACGACCCCTACTTGCTGTGTTTTGTATACATGTAACTGGTTGTGTTTTTTTAATCGAACTTCTGTTTTCTTCCTGGTTTAACTTTTGAGACGACCCCTACTTGCTTTGTTTTGTATACATGTAACTGGTTGTGTTTTTTTTACTCGAACTTCTGTTTTCTTCCTGGTTAACTTTTGAGACGACCCCTACTTGCTGTGTTTTGTATACATGTAACTGGTTGTGTTTTTTTAATCGAACTTCTGTTTTCTTCCTGGTTTAACTTTTGAGACGACCCCTACTTGCTTTGTTTTGTATACATCTAACTGGTCTATTTTTTTTAATCGGACTTCTGTTTTCTTCCTGGTTTAACTTTTGAGACGACCCCTACTTGCTTTGTTTTGTATACATGTAACTGGTTTATTTTTTTTACTCGAACTTCTGTTTTCTTCCTGGTTAACTTTTGAGACGACCCCTACTTGCTGTGTTTTGTATACATGTAACTGGTTGTGTTTTTTTAATCGAACTTCTGTTTTCTTCCTGGTTTAACTTTTGAGACGACCCCTACTTGCTTTGTTTTGTATAGATGTAACTGGTCTATTTTTTTTACCCGAGCTTCTGTTTTCTTCCTCGTGTAACTTTTGAGACGACCCCTACTTGCTTTGTTTTGTATAGATGTAACTGGTTTATTATGTTTTTATTCGAACTTCTGTTTTCTTCCTGGTTTAACGTTTGAGACGACCCCTTCTTGCTTTGTTTTGTATACATGTAACTGGTTTATTTTTTTTACTCGAACTTCTGTTTTCTTCCTGGTTAACTTTTGAGACGACCCCTACTTGCTGTGTTTTGTATACATGTAACTGGTTGTGTTTTTTTAATCGAACTTCTGTTTTCTTCCTGGTTTAACTTTTGAGACGACCCCTACTTGCTTTGTTTTGTATACATGTAACTGGTCTATTTTTTTTAATCGGACTTCTGTTTTCTTCCTGGTTTAACTTTTGAGACGACCCCTACTTGCTTTGTTTTGTATACATGTAACTGTTGTTTTGTTTTTTATTGGAGCTTCTGTTTTCTCCTGGTTTAACTTTTGAGACGACCCCTACTTGCTTTGTTTTGTATACATGTAACTGTTTTTGTTTTTTTTATTGGAGCTTCTGTTTTCTCCTGGTTTAACTTTTGAGACGACCCCTACTTGCTTTGTTTTGTATACAACTGAATCAACTTTGTCATATGGAACTCCCAATGCTCGACTTGTGTGGTAAACCACTCTGTCGGGACTAACAACAGGTTTTCCCCGATCTATCTCTGGACTAAAGAAGCTGAACACATTGGCGATCAAAGTTTCAATGTCCGGACTCATTGTGTCTGTGCTCGTGACAATCAACGCTGTGAACATGTGATCATATGATAATCGTGTGTCAAGAATTAAAGTGTGAAATATATTGCAATAAAGCCCACATAATTCCCAATTTACCCACATCGTAATATTAATGAAAATATATGTATGTAGTACAGAAAATATATTAGCAGACATGTGGAGAGTACACCTCATTTGCATACTATAGCTTGCAAGTAAATTTGAATTCTGATGAAATTTCATAATACATTAAATAAATTATTTGTACAGATTTTCTGTCCTGTAAAACTAATCTTTCTCGGAAGAATTTACCAATAATGTCAAGGAGTAAAATTTGGGTAAAAAGGTGATTATTGAATGTTTAACAAATTAATGTTACATGGTTTGAAATTGATAAAATGAAAGCCAAAAACCATTATATTTCTATTTACGTGAGTACTTAAGAATCTGCACTTTACTAAGAAAGAGTAATCCCAAATACAACATATGCTATTACCATGATATGTTTCACAACGGCTTTTATGCTTGGAATTAATTTCTAATTTTACCTCACTCACTAATACTTTATTCATTCAAAGCTAGACTGTGAGGTGAGGTGAAATTGGGTTTATGAATATATGTCGTGCTTATGAATATTTCGCTCATATGACGACGTGCATGCGTGTGTATGTGTAGGTGCGGCTGCTTGTACTAGCCCAGAATGAAGCTGGTTTTATAGTGCTAGCCCACTGAGATACCAATGCCGCAGTGAAGCATAAATAGCCCACTCAAACACATTATACTGACTCCGAGCCGACCAGTCCTTGTTGTACCCATTAATGCCGAGCGCCAGGAAGGGACCAACAAGTACCATATTTTAACGTATTTTGGTATGAATCGGTCGGGGATCGAACCCGCGATCCGGGCGCCCTAACCACTGCACCACGGAGGTGGTCCAAAGCTAGACTGTAGCATGATGAGGTTTACAAGAGATATATACAACCGTATACATGGTTAATTACATACATTGATACCATGTACATGAATAATACAATGATGGAGTATTTATTTGAATTTACATAGCACATGGTGACAATATTATTAAATTGGATACATTTGTTTGCCTGAAATAGATTAATCATATCCAATGTTGAAGGCTTTGTAATGAACTTTTTGGGAATAAACCTTTTCCTTATTTCGTTAAAATATTTACAGTTAAAAAGGTAATGGTAACCCTATGGTTAGGTGCTCACAATATCTATCAGTGGACTCTCTGGTCACTACTTAACTATCGGATGATGATTTGAAGATTTTTACTTCCGTTTTCCAACATCAGGAGTATTTCGGACACTGGTCCAATAGGGCATTTAATTTAAAGCAACCGCTCAGCGCGGCGATCAAGAACAAACGGGAAAAAAACATTCATACACAAACACCGCTAAAAATACCCTGTAACACCGTACAAGAGTACCTTTGGGAGAAGGTGTAGTTGGGAGTCGTCCCCGTGAAGCTGCTGACTCGCACGACGTCCCCGGTCCTGTATCTGTACAGCCCCATCCACGTCGTCACCACCATCTCATACTCTCCACCTACCTCAACCTGCAGGGGGAGGATATAGAATATTATATGGGAAATAAAAGGATGAATATTGTAGGTAAATATACTGATGAACATAGGATATTACAGGGGTAAATATACAGATGAACATAGGACATTACAGGGGTAAATATACGGATGAACATAGGAATGAGTGAGTTGAGTTTTACGCCGCACTAAGCAATATTCCAGCTATATGGCGGCGGTCTGTAATTAAATCGAGTCTGGACCAGACAATGCAGTGATCAACACCATGAGCATCAATCTGCGCAATTGGGATACGATGACATGGTTGTGTCAACCAAGCCAGTGAGCCTGACCGCCCGATCCCGAAACATAGGATATTACAGGAGGTAAATAAACGGATGAACATAGGATATTACAGGAGGTAAATGAACGTATGTACATAGGATGTGACAAGGAGAACGGGAGAATATAGCGTAGAATATAGAATATAAGTGTATGGATGAACAGTGGGTATTATTGGGGAAAGATAGAGGTGAATGTTGTGGGTACTGGGAAGATAAAGTGATTGTCTGGTCCAGACTCGATTATTTACGGACCGCCTGCATACAGATGGAATATTCCTGTGGCGTTAAACAACAAACCAACCGTAATTTTACCTAACGCATGAAACATAGATCTTGTTATGAAACCACAAGTTGACCCACTGTCTTAAAAACAGCGATCGATAAACTGTGACTTAAAATCTGACTGTGTAGGGCATTGCTCATACAATCAGCCATTGCTTTGTCTCCTCGTATATTTACCGACCGGCGTGGTATGTCTGAAATATTGTTGACGTTAGACAAACAAAAATGTCCATAACTTATTTTCAAATGTACAAACATTCAGTGAAACACACACAAACATGAGCTTACCTCGTGAGCTAGAAGAGTCGTGGGATCCTCCTTGTCTATAGAGTCTTCAGGTATGAACTCATAGAAGTTCAAACATGGCAGGATTGTGTACTCCGTCTTTGTCTGATCCTCCACGTGCAGGTTGAGACCGTACAGACCCTCAGACGAGATATGGACGCCGGATGACACTGGCACCTCTCCCAGAAAGTTCTTCTTCAGAAGCTCAGTCTGTAATGATAGAATCGAAACCAAATATAGGCACCAACCAAAATTAGTACCTGTCTTACCAGGGTGATGGATTTGATGATAACCAACCAACCAACCAACCAACCAACCTACCAACCAACCAACCAACCAACCATCCATCCATCCAACCAACCAACCAACCAACCAACCAACCATCCATCCATCCAACCAACCAACCAACCAACCAATCAATCAATCAATCAATTTAACTAAAACGATATCTCCTGGAAGAAATTTTGGGTAAACGTATAGTATATTCATGTAATTCATATTTTGTTGGACAATCATTGTCTGTGCCACTTAATTTTAGGTACATGTATTTGTATTTTACTCATTATCTCTCTATTTGTCCAGTTATTTTTATTGGTCCTCCTGGTTCAGTAAATAATGTGCAAGAGTCATATGTTATTGTTTACGCATATGCCTGTAATGTTCCAATCTGAATATCAGGCATTAATTGAGGCATTAACGGTCTATTAGCCATGCAAATACTTATATACACTTATGGAGACAACTCATTTAGCATGTTGAGCACTACCGCCCAAGTGTCCGTCTGACTTTATCACTTTCCCCATAGTAGCTCCTGTTGGACTCTTGTCAACTGTATAGTAAGTGTTCTCCCTGCCCCCACAAGGTTTTACTGCGAGAATAACAACACGCATTCTTTGTGCGCCATTACAACTCGTGTTGTTTCAAGAATGCCAGAGGCGTTACTCTATGTTCATTCTCGTAGTAATTCTGAAACGTCTTTGCCAAGAATGAGGAGCTGTCATTTACCGACATAAAGCCACCAATATAAACGATGTCACTGCGACAATACGACAGTTTGAGAGACTAGCGACTTGTCAAACATTAATCATACTTTGGGATGTTTAGCCCTGAGGTCAACAGACCTCATTGCGTTGATATCTCATCTGAGAAGTTTATAGCTGGCGTTAGAAGGGCCAATGTGGCACATAGATAATGTTACAATGTCGCTTCTCACTATACCGGTGCACATGGTCTAAACTGCGCATCTGTGTTTTGCATATTCAGAGAACTCCCATGGAATCCCACCATCTCCTGATTGATCAACTTTAAGATTATCTATTGCAAACCATATTTCATAAAGTGTAACCTCTGATGACAGATGTTGTGGGCACATTTCTCAATTACTAATTATATGTAATGATATGGCTTCCACCTCCAGACCCATTGTTTCTTTCCTCTCGTTCACCTGTTTGTTCAACAGATTATTAAAGTGTTCCCGTCAGATTTGAACGCGTATATCATGACTTGTAAAAGACTTATCAGGATATCACATAATTAATTTGTAATAGATATTACAGTCGTCCGTCACTGACGCTAGAGCTAACTTTTACTTGACATTTAGCTTAAGATTCCTAACTTTTGACAACAGATTCGTTAATATATATCTGACAATTAATATGTTTTTCTTTGATTTGGTCTAAGACGGAACACATTTAGAAATGTAATGCTTAAATCAATATATTCACGGTCAAGTCACACTCTGGCTGTAATTTACCCAAATGTGCCAAGTTTGGGCATGACGTCTTTTCATCATATCCACTGGATTTCTAATAATTACTTTATATAATGAACCCCAACATAAAGGCAATACAGAAATAACCAGTAGTTATGGAGGAATCTCCTTGTTTAACACCGAGAGCAAAATAACTTTTGACATATTAAATAAGAGACGAGACACTTTTCTTGAAGATATTGAAAGACATATTAAAAGATATCAAAATGCCAAAGTGGATTCCAAAAACATCATTCCACTGTCGACAAGATATATATTTTGCAGGCATTAGTACGGCAACACATTACGAGTAAAATGGTATAGTTTACCGCGCTTGCATGGTCTGTATGTACTTTACAGAAATAAACTAATGATTTAAAGTAAATTCTTTGGTGTTTGGGCATCGAACAGTCTGCAGTTATGATATGTCTGCAGTCTCCGCGGGTAAAAGAAACAGGTTACCCGAGTATTTTCCATGCTTGGTTGGTGTACGGCAAGAATGTACTCTCAGTCCGTTACTTTTTCTGTTTTTGTGCAACAATTTGTGGACCTTATTTGATCGAGAGTGGACGATGGTGAGTTCATGTCAAAGGAGATGCACAACATAATTTGTTTAGCATTTGCAGTTGATTTAATACAAATACTATATAATTACAAAGACTATTGCATCTCTTGGGACCAACTGTGAATACATGGAGAATGAAAGTAAAATATCATTGCATGTAACATTGAGAGATGCTTGAGAGGTCGAGTAGCTGCTCAACTAGAATGTGAAAGGAATCAGGATATTGCAACTTTTAGTCAGCGAGTGAGGTTTCAGCTATTTCTGGCAATATTCCATCAATATTTGGGGACGATACAGATATTTTCATTCATTTATTCATTAATCAGATCAGATCAGTTTTAACCAACTATGATCTGATTTGTTTTAAAATGACCACAGGTCTACTACAAGGTGTTGATACTCACCGCAAATGAGAAACTACCTGTTCCCGGAGCGTGGAGGGCTGCCATGTTCGGCCACACACGTGGACCGAAGTGAGAAGTTCCTTTACGGAATATCTTCCGAAGTTCATCGGCTCTTTCTGAATCTGGGGTCAATGATGTCTGTAGTTTTTGTCTCGTGCCAGGTTCAAGGTCAATGGTTTGGTTTATTGTCCCGGATTCGATATCCTCACACAACTGTTTCCAGTACTTCTGAATGGTTTTAAAGAAGTTCAATGCAAGCGGAGTTGACAGTGAACTGAAAAGTGTCACGCACCTTTCTTTGAGTCCAAATAATGAGTGAAGATACAATGACGTCTGCTCCTTTTCCAAGCTGTACACTTCCGGTGGTGACGCAGAGAAGGGACATACAAAATATGCTGAACCACTCCCGGCACCCATAGGAACACCCAGATGTGACTTGGTGATGGGTGGTTTAACACGGATGTCATGCCATAATTGCAGCTTTGACATGTGTCGAAAGCGGAACAGTGTGGTTCTGAGATAGACGAAATACATCCAACTTATTTTACCGAAAAATTTCAGGTCCTTTGGATGTCTCTTACTTTTTCCTGAGGTTGTTCCCGAAGAAAGGGCGATATATTGGGGAGCTCCCGGAAACATGACATCACGCTCTCCATCAACCACACGAGACACGTACGACTCATAGTGTATGTACGTGGTTAGTGGGTGCCTGGCGAGAAATTCCTCTACCGTTTTTATGTCACTGAATTTGAAATCTTTACCATATGCCACATCAGCTCTTTGATTGAGGATGTCTCTCAGGAGGTGAGCCTGTGCGGTTTTCACGTCCTGCATAGAAGCTAGAATCTTTCTCTTGAGATGGTAATGTTGGATGAGGAGCTTCTTGAAGCTGACGTATTGTTGTAGCATGGAACTCCATGTATGGGAGTGTACGGGTTTGGATCTGTATATGTCTGCTGCTACCACAGAGGCCAACATGAAGACAATGCCCACCAATCGTTCTGAAACAAACAGAGCCAACTTTTCTTTAAAAGGTAATCATCGAGCTTTCATTCCACACGCGGCTTAATAAGGAGTCCTGCAATGTTAAAGTCTTCCACAGTTACAGAAGTAGCAGCCTTCCAACATTTGGTAATAATTATCCCGTGTTACTCATGGAGTGCGGGTCTCTGGGTGTCCATCTGTGGCTCCTGATTTACACTACTTCGACAATGAGATTTGGTATCCCCGATGGGATTTCAGGAAAAAACAAACTGCCAATGAGTGAGTGAGTGAGTGAGTGAGTGAGTGAGTGAGTGAGTGAGTGAGTGAGTGAGTGAGTGAGTGAGTGAGTGAGTGAGTGAGTGAGTGAGTGAGTGAGTGAGTGAGTGAGTGAGTGAGTGAGTGAGTGAGTGAGTGAACCAGTCACTTATCTGGCAACGTGGCAGCTTCATGTTGGAAGAATGTTGAACACTGATGTATGGTCGAGACTTTTATCTCTGATCACAGGATGTTGCCAACTCACACGTTGTTGTAATCGTGCGAACGTAGCGGACCTTTACAGAGTGTTTATGACCTCCAATAATCGTACAAGATATAGCTTGATAAATCATCACTCACCTGTAAGCAGGACAAGGACGTTCTGTGACGATGATCTGAACGTGAGATACAGGCCAAGTGTTCCAAGATGAATCCCGACAATCAGGACAAGGAATGGATTGAACCTGAAAACAGAAACAAACATCCCCGAGGTGACTTCGGGATAGAGCTGGTTCCTGGCAACCCATGTTTGCTCACTCACGCACTCACTCACTGCCATTTTGTGTGTTTGTTTTTGTCACAGCTCTTCTGATACTAGTGATACAATGTATGAGGTCAAAGAGCATAACAGTATCTTTGCTTCTACAATTGTACACTATCGAATTATAATAAACTTTGGTAACATTATCAAACATTATTTTATTGTAGATAGGACAATATGTCTGCAGTGCTACCGACGCGGGTGATTTAATATTTATCGTACAGTCACAGAACAGAGCTGTGGATGTTCGAATGAAGACTTTACCTGGTCTCCACCTTGAGAAAGAGGTAATTTATTTCCTCGTTAAAATGTCACGCGAAAGAATTTAGCCCAAGGGCAAGGTTGCTTGTCCGCGGTCTAACAGTCGTCCTATATAGACAGTGCATGTACTGATATTAAGATTTCTAAATAATGATTTTATAAAATCAAAAGGGTAACCCCATAGCATGTTGGACATTTATTGATATCAAATCACCGAATACATATTAAATGACTAAGTATTATAACTATCTAAGTGAGTCGCAAGCCAAGCTTTCCAAAATGAAGCTGATACGAATCAAGCAGAATTTGTCTGAATTTGCCTCCTTGGTAAACTGTGTCGTGGCATTTCATTTGGTATTAAACCATCATTAATTCGCATACACGCAAACATGAAGTCTTTCTGTAACTGCAATGATCTGGAACGAGTCGTTATACCAAATTTCATCGAACCATTAATAACTAAGTTGATTTAAAAAAAGATATGTAGCTCCAGTTTCTGTTTTATTGTACTTGAAAGTGTAAACATGAAGTGTTTCCTCTGAGGCTGACTCTCAAATTTGTCTGGCCATTAATAATTAAGTTGATTTAAAAAAAGATATGTAGTTACAGTTTCTGTTTTATTGTACTTGAAAGTGTAAACATGAAGTGTTTCCTCTGAGGCTGACTTTCAAGTTTGTCTGACCATTAAAAATTACATGTTGATTTAAAAAAAAATATGTCGCTAAGTTTCTGTTTTATTGTACTTGAAAGTGTAAACATGAAGTGTTTCCTATGAGGCTGACTCTCAAGTTTGTCTGACCATTAATACTTACATGTTGATTTAAAAAAGATATGTCGCTACAGGTCCTGTTATATTGTACTTTAAAGTGTAAACATGAAGTGTTTCCTCTGAGACTGACTCTCTCAACAGATAACTTCATTTTTATCGCCATTTGCTCAAAATAGCGGTCAGTGGATGGTATGGTCCAGACTTAACTACGCATAGGCCGCCCGCCTATTGCTGAAACATTGCGTTAAGGTGTGACGTTAAACATCAAATACATACAGACCCATCACCCCGCGAGGTACTCCTTAGTCTGTCATACAAAATATATCCAAGACCTCCCACGCAAGTCTAGAAAATGTGGCAAGTCTAGATTTTCACAGCTTCTGAAAATGAAGAAAGTCTCAGGGCTCCTTATATTATGTGTTGATTTGTTTCACTATGAACCTTTTTTCTGTAAAATATGTTCATTTCAGAGACTAGTTGTTAGTCTAGGTACTCCTTAATGAAGAGTACAATGTTAACCTACACAAGAACCACACAGAGTAAGGTAAACGACTACTGTAAATGATGCGTTCAGTATCATTCATGTATACCCTACCTTGAGTGGACGAAGGCCATTATTCCCCAGTGACCATGTGCCTTGAAGTAAAACTGAGGGCCACAAGGAGACGACGGTTGGAGCCCCTCATCCGCGGGACCTCATTTCATTGGCTACAAAATCGAGCATGTATGGTCACATGTTCCATAATGAGAACATTTTTCATCTTACGTTTTGCAGTTCTTGCTGAGCCGGTTTTATCATGTGTGGCTTTCTGTACCGGCTCTTTATTTTGTTGTGAATTATTATACAGTTAGCGTTGTTTTGTGTGAGTTTGTGTGAAAGTGTAAGTAGAACGCACATTTGTCAAGAAACCCAACTTGGCCATTCTGAAAACAGGTTTTCCATAATTCATCATGATATTTTCAAGGTTATATACTAAAGCCACAATAACTCGGTCCGCCTAGTGGCTGCAAGAGTTGTATACTCCTCAGGGAGTTGAGATTGATAATATGATGTGCCGTTGAGATTGAGATCCAGTGATCGAGGGAAGAAATACCAGCGCCTTGAGCAAGCACTATTTGCTTGGATATGTGCGCTATATAAATATCCTCTGATAATACTAAAGATGAAATAATTAATTTTTTTAAAACTCAAAATGTTAACTATGTCGTCCTTGTTGAAAAAATATCCTTGCCCCAAACTCATGCATTTTGGTTTGCAAATGAATGTATTTATACTACTGGAAAAAAGTAACGTCCATTATTTGGTGTTATGTCATTTTCAAATGTCATTTTCTTTTATGACTTCTGGAAATGATACCGATATTTTACACCTGTCATTATATCTTGACAAAAGTATGCATTGAACAAAATTTAATACTGCATGTAACATCTGACAGTGTAAGTTACTGTATGTGCTGCATACTCTGTATGTGGACCGGAGGCCTAAAATACAATAAACTTCTTCTTCTTCTGATGCAAAAATGAATATCATTATCTCTGGTGCTTTCCTTAATCACTGTTTCACTGTTGACAGGATAATATCGAAATCTGTGTGTTCTGACAGTAGGCATTGTGACACGCGCTTGAAGATATTTGTTGTTAAAAGTTAGTTCACAAATAAATTGGCGTTGATCCAGGCTTGACAACGACGACACAGACGACACTAAGCGATTGAAGAAATCTTGGGCAATGGTGATCGAATGTGTGAACCATCGCTTGTCCCAATTCAACTAACGTCAATGGCTAATTCTGGGCTAGATGTAAACATCGCTCCATTTCATCCCAAAGTGTGCTTGATAGGGAACAGGTCCGAAGAAACAGCTGGCCAGGGGAGTATCGGAATGTTCTGCTGCCCCAGGAAATCTGTCACATCACCGGTGACATGTGGTCGGGTATTATCTTGCTGAAGTTGCGTCACTGTCCTTGAATGAACGGCTGCACACGAGGCCCAATGATCTTTTCCCCGCAGACCTGTCAGATTGCCCTTGACAATGACAAATTGTGACCGACCATGAGATGCGATTACTCCTCATAACATAACGCCCATGCAACCAAACTGTCGACGTTGAACAACGCACGCGTCAGTATACCCTTCACCTCGTCGTCTGTAAATAATTGCCCTGACATCTGAGCTATCCAGATGAAATATCGACTCACCTGTTGCTTGTCGTAAGAGGCGATAAACAGGATCAGGTTGTCAGGCTCGCTCACTTGGTCATGTATCCCAATTACGTAGGTCGATGCTGATGCTGTTGATCACTGGATTGTCTGGTCCAGACTCGATTATTTACAGACCGCCGCCATATAGCTGGAATATTGCGGTATTCAGGGGAAAATCAGGACTGATCAGTTTGGAGTCTAAGTGTCCATGAGAGTTCAAACTGTTTTCGCCTGTTGCAATTTTTCAACCAAAGCCAATTCCAACTCTTCTGAGAATAACCCGTCCACCAGTATGGCGGCATGTTACAGAAAATCCATACGGAGGGATCTTGCATTAGTCGTCTCATGGTCACAACATCACCACGCTCTTGCTGCGTGAATTATTGTGTTGACTGGTAAAACGGAAGAGTTTACCCAAGTATGTGTGGAGAGGGATTCCCGCTGTAGGAGCTGGAATTGACTCAGTCGGTTTTCAACCAAGGCTACCAGCCTGCATGGGCTACGTCACGACTCTCGAACATCCCTTCGCATGTCAAGCTCTCGTCCATTTGATATACACGCCTCTTGTTGTGCCGCAAGCGTTTTGGGTGATGTACATGTTAGCGACCTACATGTTTATGGATCATCCATCTTTTCTGTGGACTGAAGGCGTGATCCCTTATTTAAAGGACTCTATGTTCCACGCTCTATCGCTTTCATTTCCAGCAATATCCCGGCGGGGAACACCAGAAAAAAAGATTAAATTGAATACTCAAACAAGTCGATACATTAGCCATTACATTATACACTGTGTGAGGTAACGTATGTGTTGATGTAACAGTAACTTATGATTCTTGTTTTAATAATTACTTCAATAGGATATCTACCGAGTTCCCCATAAACCACAACATTTGGAGTAGATTGTTTTACCTTAAGTCACGGGAAGGGTTATTTTCAACAGGGACTGCCAGATCCTCATATTCACCTGCCCGATAGTCGGGTTAAAAGTTAGACATGTATATATGAAGATAGTTTGTGAGTAGGTAAGTTTTGGTCAGGGCTGGCAAATTTTACATCTAACCAGCCCTGTGGTCAGGCTGAATTTTTGGGGAGTTTTTTACCCTGCTTAAGTATATATTTACAAAAGTTCTGATGCGTTTCCTCTAACATAGTTGCATTTTCATACCCCATAGTTGCATTTTCATACCCCAAACGTCTGACCCACGTAATAAAAGTGGTAAAGCGCATTGAGCAAAAAGTTTTAGCTGACAGTCAATTAGGATTTCAAGTTCCCTAATAGTTTTAAAAACATCGCCCTTGTTGCATGCTCTACAAATCTCTTCATTGCTTTAGCAAACTTACCATTGCCGTTAAATAGAATCCCCAAGTATATATATTTTGGGACAACGCCAATTTCCTCATCAAAAAGTTTCAACCTATATTTGTTTTTGACATAGACTTTTGGAAATATGTTGAGAAATTGTCTAAGCTTAATTGTAATTCTTCAGCACTTTCCGATAACGAAACAGTGCCATCTGCATGCAAAAGTGCTAATAATTCTATATACACGCCAAGCTGATCCTCAATAAAACAATTTACAATACCAAGTTCATTTATATTATGTTCATAAAATGGTTTCAAGGTCATTAAGGTAGAGAGCAAATAAGAAAGGAGATAAATTTTCACCCTGTCTAACGCCAATATTACAGTGGAAG